ATATATAACATATACCTACGTACACTTATTTTACAATATGTACGTGAAGTCAAATAACAAGATAACTATTTCACAAGCTCTGCACCCATAAATCATAATACTGCAACCGGACTGCTTCCGTTACTGCGAGAGACAGAGACAGATGTATGCGACTGCGTACAAGTGAAAGAGACGTCGAACGGCACTCGACAACTTAATTGAAACAAGTGAAGGCTTGTAGTGTTGTGGGATGTGGGTTTAAAATAATGTCGATAGTTTTTTTTAATTTATACATCTGTTAATCCAACCTGTCTTCAGGTTGTCTTAACCTTAACCAGATTATAATTAGATAGAAAATTGCAAATTAATATAAAGAAAAGATTTTTCCGTAGAAGTAAGTTTTCATTGAGGCGAAGTCAAGGCAATCTCAACATGAAAATGAACAACTTAAACTAATAATTTAACTCAAGATTTTTTGTAGACGTACTTTATCATAGAGGTGATTGAAAATACAGCAGTCCAGACACTCCCTAAATAAAAATATACTAATTTTTGAAAAGAAAAAGGAATTTTAAGAATCTTGGCAGCTCTACTATTTCAGAACCTTCATTTTGTACAGAAAGATCTAGAAAAGCTACGATATGGTCGCTTGTTACCAATAATTTCAGATTTTAAATCGATAAAAGGAAGAAAGAATATGCAATTAATGTTGTACCGAGCACAATGCGTCCGAACCCACTCTAGCTGGTCAATGTTCTCGTCGAACCCGTCGCTTGGGTCGAAGGGCTCGGCGAGTAAATTAACCCACAGACACAGCCCAGTTTCTCGCCGGATCTTCTCAGTGAGTCGCGGTTCCGATCCGGTGGTAGACTCTGCGAAGCACGGCTTTCACTAGAATTCGTGCTAGCAACATCGTCAGATTTGAGCTTTGTGAGCTCGCCTACTAATTAAGGTTACGCTTATATGGCCTCTCTAGTCAGATAAAGTAGGAAAAAAAACAAACTACAAACAAGATACAAAATTAAAAACTTTCGTTTAAAATATTAATCGATATACGTCGCCCCCTTCACTAATTCAATGGATGGTTACATTCATAATGCGTTATCCGTTTCTTCTTGAGCATTAACATGTCCAACATCATTAAAATAACCAAGTTCGTAAACAGCATAGGTCATACGATTATGACTTTTAATCGAACACTGTTAAGGTACATATGGAACGCAGGCGAGAAATTGGCATTTAATATCTTTCAACCCCACACGTTTCGTGTGCTTTTTCATTCGTTTTTCAGTATGGACTCAATTTCTGGTTGTGAATATTTTTAAATTACGATTTCTTGTATCGAATTTACTTCCTTTCGTTATTACGAGTAGGTATTTAGTTTTATTCACTGGTTTTGGCAAGTCAATACCTATTAATTGAAAGATGCGATCCAATCTCACGTTTAATTCGGAGGTATTTTTGATTTTCCCAACCGATTTACCATTTCGTTAAATGAGAGATTGAATGTGTCACTTAGTTTAGTCCGCCGCCGAGCGAAGGACTTATCGTAATATTCTTTTTTTTTATGGCTTGGTAACGAGACCTTTTGATTTTGACTTAAATGTGTATCTGAATGCATGGATTATAATTATCTTATATCTTTAAGCGAGCAATTCTTGTATATAAATATATATATAATCTGAACCTCGGAAACGGCTCCAACGATTTTCATAAAATTTAGTATACAGGGGATTTCGGGGACGATAAATCGATCTAGCTACGACTTATTTTCAAAAAATGTTGTTTTATTCGTGTTTTCAATAATCAACTTTATCGATAATTTTGATTTTTTCTTTAAATAACCAGTTCATATTTTTTTTATTATGCTGTCGGTAAGATCGAAAAATATTATTCATATTTCATCATTATATCAATATGTAAGTATTTAAATATAATTTCTAAAAAACACAATTTATCAAAAAAAAACCTAGCAAAGCTCGGTCATCTAGGTACCTACTGGGATAAATTTATAAATTATTAAAAAATGATTAAGCCAAATTTTATGTTTTCTTCTTACAGTCTAGTATAATATGAAAAATGACATGAAGCGAAATGAAATGAAGATTAACATGAGTCTTTAATCAATTGTGATGAAATATAGTCTCAATAAAATAGTGATTACTTCCTAAGACTTTAGTGTACCTTTTGGAAGAACGCGAGAAGCTACGTCCAGTGGCTTTCTTTATTTTCCCACATTTGTGCACTTAAGCTTAGATGGGTGGACGAGCTCACAGCCCACCTGGTTGTTAAGTGGTTACTGGAGCCCATAGACATCTACAACGTAAGTGCGCCACCCACCTGAGATATAAGTTCTAAGGTTTCAAGTATAGTTACGACAGCTGCCCCACCCTTCAAACTGAAACGCATTACTGCTTCACGGCAGAAATAGGCAGGGTGGTGGTACCTACCCGTGCGGACTCACAAGAGGCCCTACCACCAGTAAAAAGGCAATTATATGTAGGCAGCGGCTGGGCTATGTCTTGGCATAGCTGAAGTCCAGAAGCGACGGTACGGTAAGCACTCACCATCAGATGGGGTGTATAATTACTGGACCTCTTGTGAGTCCGCACGGGTAGGTACCACCGCCCCGCCTATTTCTGCCGTGATGCAGTAATGCGTTTCGGTTTAAAGGGTGGGGCAGCCGTTGTGACAATACTGAGAACTTAGAACTATATCTCAAGGTGTGTGGCGCATTTACGTTGTAGATGTCTATGGGCTCCAGTAACCACTTAACACCAGGTGGTCTGTGAGCTCGTCCACACACCTAAGTAATAAAAAAATAAAAAAACAACTGCATGAAAGGGAATTAAAAAGAATAGGTACCTTTTCAACCTCGAGCAAAACAAAACCACTCTGCTGTTCTAACCTACGTTATTGCTCGGGACTTGTTGTGTGGGTACATACTTGTGTATGTCCTACCTTGAATTTATCGTTAGCGCGATTCAAGTTTCGCTTCGGATCTGTTCTTGATTTTTTACTGGTGGCCCGGAGGCTGCCCGAGCACCTCTGAAAGAGACCTAACAACTCAAGAGCAATTGCTTCGCGAATGAATCTACTACCGGATCGGAATCGCGACCCGCTGAGAAGATCCGGCGAGAAACTCAGCGAGCTGATTCATGGGTTAGGTTGCACGGCGAACTCTTTGTCGAGTTCGACGAGTACGGTTACCGAGGTCCCTAAGCCTGCTCCTAGTGTTAGAGCTGAAGGCGCCTAATGCAAAGGTTATTGGAACTGATGGATCTGTAAGGACGTGGTGAATCTGTTCTATTAATAATAACTACAGCTACAATATTTTTTAATTTAAACAACAAACGTTCCGATAGCAATGTGAAGCAGTACCTAATGCGTTTCGCTTTGAAGGATGGGCCGGCTGCTGTACTGTAGAAACTGAGACTTTAGAACTCTTGACTCAAGTAGAGTGGCAGAATTTACGTTGTTGATGTCTATAGGCTGCGGTATCCACTTAACACCAGATGAGCCGTGAACTCATTCACGAAACAAAGCAATAAACAGAGTATTAGTAATAAAAGGACATTGTAAAAGACCCAAATTAGGGCTGCCCTAGGCTTAGTTGTTTTTTAATACAATCCCATCTGGATATGTCTGTCGGTGGGGCCAACGTTTTACAGATAATTAAGAATTCCACATTATACCCTAAGTTGGGTAAGCTTAGGTAGAGTTCAGGTTCTGATATCTGATATCGGGTCTATGGGCTTTGGTAGCTACCTTAGTGTCGGGACATCATAGATGACAAAAATATTTATCAGTCTTCTTTTCAGGTAATGCAAAACTGGATATTAAGGCGACTCATATGAGATTTAAAAAAATATTGGTGCGCTTGAAGCAGTGTACAATTTGAAGCTTTTTGCTAAATTAATCGAAGCTATAAAAGCTTTTTCATATCAATAATGGCTGCTTTAAAACCTAAACCGTTAGAATTTTAATTTTATCCATCGCTAAACGTCATATCGTCTATGGGGGAACAGCCGCGCTGCCAATGCTAAAAGGCAATCACTCCGGTCTTCGGAATTGAATAATTACTGTTTCAATGACGTCCAAATCTCGTGATCCAGACTCCCAAGATAGGCAGCGTTATCTCATTCTCTTTAATTTAAGACCGTATACCTAACCATGTGTCTTACTCGCTGTAAGGTGTCTTTATAAATAAAAATAAATAACACCATTTTTTCGAAGAATTTGTAGAATCGAAAACCACGAATATTTCCTTTCCCATGCATAACATATAAAAACCGATGCATATGAAACTACATATTTTAAAAATACATTATGATACATAGAGATCTCTAGTAACAGTACAAAAGAAAATAGCAGCTGTAGGTGACACAATAACAACCAATAATAGAGCGAGCCAATACCAATTCACACCTTGAAATCAATTTAACGTAACGAAGTAAATTAAAGGTCCTTGTAAATGGAACGTCGGGAGTATATTCTGTGCACGGCGAGATAAATAAGAAAAAAAAAAAAGAAAAAAAAACTCCATCCAAACGAAGTCTCGCAGCCTCCCAGATTCGCACTATCATCTCGCCGCGGCCAATACAAAGTGAAAAGCGACGTAACACCGCTCTATTGGCCCGACGGAACCCTTAAACCCCTCCCTACCGACAAAACTCCGCCCATCACATACAAAAAGCCACCAGAACGACGCAGCAGCTGCCCAAGATAAAGGCAGCTCAGTATAAAGTCCGGCATCAAAGTAATTGAACAACGTAACTACACGTCGTAACCTTAAAACACTTCTTCCCATTTAAAGTCGCGGCCCTGACGCGCTTATCACGGCTCGTTATCGTTGAGAACGTTCAAGATTCGTCCGTCCTTATCGCGCAACCTGATTCCGCTTATGACGAACAGGGACGACGAATTAAAAATTTAGGTGTCGTTAAGAAAAAAATATGCCGTGCTGCCCGCCGCGGCCAGTGTTCGTCGGTGCGGCTGACGTGCGGGCGTGCAATCGATAACCCGCGCCGCTGAGCTAGCCCGCTCCGCAACCAAACGCACCTACATCCGGGACGTAGTGATGTGCGCGATGTAAACGTATTGTCGCTATCGATAGACGCGGTGATCGTGACAAACATGATGACTATGGACGTCGGGATGTACAACAACCAACAGAACGGGTACGGAGGCGCCGAGTACTATCAGCAGGGGACCGGGTACCAGCCGCCTTACGAGGGCTACCACGAGGGATACTACGAGCCGACGACTCACTACTACGAGCCTTTACTGCCCGGGCAGCCGGCCCACGACCACCCCCCCGCGCCGGTCATAAGCACGGACACGGGACTGTGTTACACGAATTTGGATTACGGTGACCTGCAGCCAAATTACCCTTTACACGCCTTACCGCAGCATCCGATTGAGCCGTTCAAGCACCGGGATGAGGTCCCGAGACCGGAGGAGATGCACTTACACGAGCACAAGCTCGACAACCACTACTTGGAGACAAAATATAATATGCATTTCGTTGATGAGTCCTCCATGCAGTACAACCACTCGGGGTCCCCGCTCTCTTGCGCGGAGTTTGAGCACTACCAGCCCAAAGAGGAGTACGGAGGACTGAGGGAGGGATTCCCTCGTGAAGGAGAGACGATGTCGCACCTTATCCCGAGCGGTCACCAATCCCACCCCTCTCACGCCACTGTGCCGACCTACAAATGGATGCAAGTCAAGAGAAACGTACCCAAACCAACCGGTGAGTTCTACAATGATTTTATTTTTAGAAAATACTTTTAATTATTTATTTTTCTTATATATATTTTTTATTTCTTTAACGTTTATACAATATGCTCTTGAGTGAACAAGGCTCAAGCTATTTTATAAGACTTATTAAATGAAAACATCATATCTACATAATATGATATATATTTAAGGCACAAACTAATCTGTTTTATCGGACTACTTCTTCGTAAATCTCACAAATAGCTACGTATTAAATATCCAAGCTGAACTAAGCATCACCATATGAAAAACATTTTGACTTTCTTCAAAATGGACGAAATTACAATTAGTACATACAAAGAAATTTTTAAAAAAGATTTAAAAAAAAATATTTACTTAAGTCACTTGTAATTTTACAAAATCAATTACTGGTCCGTGAATTTAGTGTGTATTATTAACGACCATATTTATTCAACTGTATCGTAATAATTTTAAATCGAAAAGAATTTGTGATTACAGATACATAGATTCCGTTCACAAAAAAAATTTAAGAAGGCATTTAGAAGTGTTTAAATTATTCGATAATATTTTATATACATATATATCGACGCTTGAAAGGTAAACGTGACTAAGCGACAATGCGTGAACTTTACAGTAGACTAATTTAAAGTTGAAATATCTGAAAAAAATATCTATTTTAACGAATCTAGCTGTACGATTGAAATGATTTTAATAGACCTAAAAATATATTATATTTTTTGCGCATCGAATATGGTTATTGCCTATCATTTATGTACAAAGCAGTTATTTTCGTTTAGTCACGTTTGCCTTTCAAGCGTCGATATGTATATATTTTGAGTCTCTGTTATATAACTATTTTATTAATCAGCTGAGATTAGGAGTCAACGATCTCGCGTGACGCGGGATGGATAGCTTCGCATTGGAACGCGGCTTTACGAACATTTCAAATAAAAATACAAAAAAAAGAACTTGTACTTTAGATACGTAGTTTTCGTCGGAATGATCTTCCTTCATGAGGCTTCTATCAGCCAACTTTCATGTAGCACAGCGGCAGGTGTCAAGGGTTGTGTCACTGACCCGCGTCAGTCACTCACTTGAACTCTGTCACTCAATCTGACACTGCGACTGACATAACGGGCAAATAATTTGACGTTTATGAAATGTTAAAACTACGGACGGACGATTTGACATTTCAAAATATTAACTAGTTTTTTTTTTTTGTTCGGTGGTTAGTTGTGCGACTCGTGTAAGCCAGCGGTTTCGCGTGACCCTGCCATTGCTGTGGTCATTGGGCGATAATTACTCATCAACTATTAATTAGAACACCAGCTAGTCTTATATGTCAATTAATACGGTTATTTAAATAGAAGTTAACAGGCAGAGAAATATATTAGAAAAATTCATTAATAAATAAAGAAAAAATTTATAAAATAAATAAATATATTAGGTATTTTCATGAGGCCAGAGTCTCAATTGCTTTAGAATACAAATAAAAATACACTTACATTTTGTTCTCATATATTTTACAATTTTATTTTATTGCTTACATGGGTGGACGAGCTTACAGCCCACCTGGTGTTAAGTGGTTACTGGAGCGCATAGACATCTACGACGTAAATGCGCCACCCACCTTGAGATATAAGTTCTAAGGTCTCAAGTATAGTTACAACAGCTGCCCCGCCCTTCAAACCGAAACGCATTACTGCTTCGCGGCAGAAATAGGCTGGGCGATGGTACCTACCCGTGCGGACTCACAAGAGGTCCTACTACCAGTAATAATTTCCCCCATACACACAGCCCAATGAGTTTCTCGCCGGATCTTCTCTGTGGGTCGTTATTCCGATTCTGTGCTAGATTGTGTGAAGAACTGCTTTTGCTAGGGTTTATGTTACTAGCAAATTCGCTCAGGTTGAGCCCGTGAGCTCACCGACCCGTCCGAGCGTAGCCGGAATAGTTCCTTAGGCTCCCAGCGAATAGGTAGGGAAATACAATTTCTGACGTTTTGTATGCTTAACAGCTTTGGTAGTTGCTGATGACCGAAGTGACTAGTGGCGACTCATCTATTTTGTCTAAAATGGATATGGATTTTCTTGCATTAAAATAACTTTCTATCAATAGATTTTATGATGTTACGACACAAGGTTTCTATATAAAATTATCGAAAACAACCAGAATCCCGAAACAATTCAATCACTATTTATCGATAAAAATGTATCGAACAAAAAACAATAAGCTTATGCTCTTCCAGTGGTGATCGTTACCGTATCACACGAAACACACAGACAGGCAGACACGTGTTAGATCGATATTTAGATAACGAGCCCCACGAGTTCTGTTAACATTTCTTTAACCACAGTTTAGAGACGCTTGTCGTCCAGCTTAGCAAGGTTACGGATAGATATGGAAGGCTCCCATAAAAAAAACTCTCAATAGTTAAACCAACAAATTAAAGAGCGGACGGTCAGCGTGGTATGGACATGTAACTACGCATTGTTATTTATTGTAAGCGTAGAAGAGGAAGTGTCAAAGTAGCCCCGGTAATTAACAAATTAAAGAGTGACGGTTAGCGTGGTATGGATATGTGATGCGTAGAGAGAAGATACATGTGACTAGGAGATGTATAGAAATGATAATGCAAGGTAGAGGGGAAGAGGTCGACCAAAGAAGAAACGGATGGAGTGTGTGAATGACGATATGAGAGAGAGAGGAGTGAGTCTTGAGATGACGGCTGTTAGAAGAGAATGGAAGAGAAAAAATTGCTTTGCCGACCCCACCTAGTGGGATAAGGTGGAGAAAATGAAGAGAGTTATAGGAGGCAATATTGTTATTAGTAAAAACAGACCTACGGACCTATTTACTTTACTTGTCTAAAGTCGCAGTGTCACGTGTCTCCTCTTCTCTAACCAATAACGCATTGCTCGTCACAAAGACAGGTAGGATGGTGCATTCATATGTAAGACTCTAAGTCGAGTATCTTCACTATTTGCACTTCGATTTGTAGTTTAGGATTTGCCAGTATTCCAACGCTAGTGACTCTGATATTAAACTGAAGTTTGGAAGAGGAAAACGTCTTTTTTTTTATCAAAGAGTTGAAAGTGACAGCTTAACAGTAAGTAGGCTTGAAATAAACGAATTAAATAGTAAAAGTAAAACAATATTATCTTTGTTTTGGTGCGCATAAATACACGCGACAATTAGGGTCGGAATCGTAAGGGTTGATGAAAAACCGAGTGACTTTTATGGAATATTTAATGCGGTGATTTCCTTTTTATAAATTGATAAGTAAGTGTTAACTGATTTTAATTATATTTCAACAGCTTTTTGCATTTGTTTATGGTACTGTTGCGTTGAGGCTAACCAAATTAAATGTTATATGAGACGCCCAGTTCGCAATATGAGATTGTTCACGCAGGAGCCAGTCACCGTCGACGCCCTAGACACGTCCTTACGGATCCATCAGACCCAATAACCTTTGCATTAGACGCTTTCAGCTCTAACACTAGGAGCAGGCTTAGGGACCTCGGTAACCGTACTCGTCGAACTCGACAAAGAGTTCGCCGTGCAACCTAACCCGATTCATGGGTTGAGTTGGCTCGCTGAGTTTCTCGCCGGATCTTCTCAGCGGGTCGCGATTCCGATCCGGTAGTAGATTCATTCGCGAAACAGCAGCTTTTGAGATATTAGGTCTCCTTCAGAGGCGCTCGGGTAGCTGTTAGCAAATCCCACCCCTCTTGGCTGAGCCTTTGCTCGCCCACCTGTCCTGGCCCCATGATCTGTAAGCGGAGTAAAATGTCCCTTCGGAACAAGGTGACACTTTACAAAACTTGCATAAGGCCCGTCATGACTTACGCGAGTGTGGTGTTCGCTCACGCGGCCCGCACACACATAGACACCCTCCAATCCCTACAATCCCGCTTTTGCAGGTAAGCTGTCGGGGCTCCGTGGTTCGTGAGGAACGTTGACCTACACGACGACCTGGGCCTCGAATCAATTCGGAAATACATGAAGTCAGCGTCGGAACGATACTTCGATAAGGCTATGCGTCATGATAATCGCCTTATCGTTGCCGCCGCTGACTACTCCCCGAATCCTGATCATGCAGGAGCCAGTCACCGTCGACGCCCTAGACACGTCCTTACGGATCCATCAGATCCAATAACCTTTGCATTAGATGCCTTCAGCTCTAATACTAGGGGCAGGCTTAGGGACCCCGGTAACCGTACTCGTCGAACTCGACAAAGAGGTCGACGTGCAACCTAACCCATGCATCAGCCCGCTGAGTTTCTCGCCGGATCTTCTCAGCGGGTCGCGATTCCGATCCGGTAGTAGATTCATTCGCGAAACAATTGCTCTTGAGTTGTTAGGTCTCCTTCGGAGGCGCTCGGGCAGTTGTTAGCAAATCCCACCCCTCTTGGCTGAGCCTTTGCTCGCCCACCTGTCCTGGTGAAACTGGAAAGGCCTTCGGGCCACCAGTAAACTTTCAATCATAAAAAAAAAAAAAATTAAAAAAAAAAAGCCTGTCCTGGTGAAACTGGAAAGGCCTCCGGGCCATCAGTAATCCTTCAATCCTAAAAAATAATAATCTGAGATTGTTATTTTCTGGTTCTTTTCTGGATCTTCTCTCGATTACTTCAACTAGCGCAGATGAGCAGACGAACTATGACTCGCTCATCTTCATACGCCGCCTGTCTTGAAACGCGAGGACGAAGAAGCTACATTAGAATATCCGGTTCCTTGTAGAACATTCTAATGGTTTCATTCAATACTTGAAAAAAACATATGTAAGTAATACTGGTGGTAGGACCTCTTGTGAGACTCTCTCTCTTGTGAATTTACGTTGTAGATGTCTATGGGCTCCAGTAACCACTTAACAACAGGTGGACTGTGAGCTCGTTCACACATCTAAGCAATAAACAAAATATAAAAATAATAATAATTTAGACCACCCAATTTCTTGTGCGGACTAAAACTGTATGTCCCAAAAATGATGTGTTCGACACGTACAATGAGAAT